AGTTCAATCTGTTTGTGGCTTCTTGTGAATTGTCTAATTATTTAGTTTAATCTGTTTTGTTTTTTGAGAATGGTTTCGTATTGTGTAAAGTGGTCGCGCTATCGGATTACTACTGTTATTGTTAAGAAAAAATTATAATGATGGTTTGCAAAGTTAATATCATTGGTATATTTTGGTTTTTATTAGGTCGTCGTTGTTTAGTTATTAGTCTGTTTGTTTGAAAACCCATATGTGAATAATATGGAACGAATGATGGTTTGAATGTTGATTGTAATGTCGTTGGTGGAAAAGGAGTATTGTTTTTGTTGTGAAATGTTGGAAATATCTGATGATTAGCTGAGATACTTTTTTTTCGTCGTGGAAGGTAGGTGGTGTGGTTTCAGTTGTGAGTTGAGTTAGTTTCAAGTAATCTTTTTATACTGAGATGGTGGCAATCGCTGCACTTGAGATATGAATTGAAATTTTGAAAAATACAACATGAGACTAATCAGGGTATCACACATATCTTTTTTGTCTGCTAATATTGTTTCTTCGTTAGTTTGTGGTCTAAAGTTTTTCTAGCTTGTAAATTGAGATTTAGGGTGTGTTGAAAATAATCGATAATGAATCATGAAAATTTTTTGTAGGTCAATTATAAATAATTGTGATATTTCAATGTCAGCTAGTGTTTCACAGATGGCGTCTAAAAATGGTGAAGAAAGACGTCTTATTTCGCGTCTTACTTTTGCGTGCTGAGATGTTTGTGGTGGTCTCATTTATTTCTAATATGGAGACATAACTATGAATCATAGAGAAAATATCATTTGTGAATATTGAGCTTGCTCTTTGTGAGTTTTGATGTTGATTTTTTCTGATATATTCTATGAAAAATTTTGAAAAATCTAACTCTTTATCACCTGTTTGTATTCGATGTGATGGTTGGTTTGATGATTGTGCTGGTAGGATTTCAATAGTGAATATACCGTAGTGTGATGTGATATTACTTATGCCTGGTAGTTAGTGATTGAAAACTTGTCTTCTTTTTTACTTTACGAAATTCTTGTTTACTTGGATTTAATTCCTTTTTGGAATAAATTCACGCTTGGATTCTGACAAAATGTACTTGTCCTCTAGTGGGATCGCTTTTTGGGCTAAAAAAAAGGTTTGAGTCATTGTCAAAATGATTGTCGGTTTCAATCATTTTTTGTGCGGCATTACAGTTAACGTGTAGCTTCAGAATATCGTATTGGTTGATTCCAATTGTATAGTCCTACTGGTTTGCAAATATATGAGTTATTTTTTCTGCAGTTGCTTTTTATGGACGATGCTAATGTGGCTTGTGATTCAAAAATTTTATTTGATTATCTGCTGGTTTATTTTTGTTGTGTATTAGATCTCGAAGATTTTGAAGCTTCTGTATTGTAGTTGAGCCAGATTCCGAAACTGCGTTTCGTGTTCTGGAAAAATTTTGATCTACTTATCTGTTTCTGTTTTGTAAGTTTTGCCTTCTTTTTAGTTTGCGTCTTTGATCTAATGTTTTCTATCTTTTGTTTGTGCTGTGTAATTACAAAATGTGTCTTTTTTCTCTGATGTAACAATTTTGGAGAAGTGTTTTTTGTTAGTTTCCTAAATTGTCTTTAGACATAAGTGTTAGGGTGATTGGGACAAGTGTTAAATTTCAATTCCTAAACTAGTAGTCCCTACACTTTTTTTGAAGTCATCCTAATCCTGGGGAATAGAGTATCGCGAATAGACGGGTTAATGAGAGAGTTTATTGATTCATTAGAATGATTTTACACTTTCTCGAGCGGTTAAGTTACATTAAAAAAACTTACCTTGCTTAGTTTGGATTTCGATTTGTGATCAAGGGCTCGGGAACCGTAATTCAATCCACCAGGTTCAGGTATAATTAGAACAGGAGTAAATTGTTAGATACTTTTTTGTTCTTGCTAGTCCTAAAATGTAGTTTAGCTTGGGTCAATTAAGATGAGGGGCTCAAGTGAAGGATGAGTAACCGAAGTTCTTCACTGTTTATCCTAATTAAAATGGTTAGTTTTTTTGGAAAAAGTTCAATTAACCCTGGGTTATTTGTACAAGTTGGAGGGTGAATCAGCGTTTGAGGTCGTTAGAGTTGGGGAAAACAAAATTGCTCAATTGATCCAAAGAAAGCCTTGTTGATCAAATATTGAAATTGATTTGAAATTGAATCGAAGCTAAATTTTTAAAAATATAAGGAAAGCCTTGATGATCTGGTTGAAAAAAATATTAGATTGAACTAAAACAAAGATGGGCCTTCGCAAGATTTGAAATAAAGAATAAAGGTTTAAGAAAAGGTTAGAAATTAAAATTTAATTGAGATTAGTTTCCTGAGTGATTATGTGCAATGATTCAGATGGGGAAACAAAAAGACATACTTAAAGAAAACAGAAGTCCTCAAGAAGCAAGGAAATATCATTATTTTTGATAAAAACTAATTTAAACAGATTCAGTAACTAATTTTTTGTATTTTTTTATTGAATTTTAAAACTATAGTTTTTTAAGTCACTGCAGATTTGGAGTTTGAATAAACGACTGATCTAAATTGGTTTGGTTTTAATATAATTATTAAAAAATTAATAAAACATCAATGAGAGATGTATCTTTGAATTAATCTCACTGATCCAAGTTTTGTAATTCATATTAGTGAATGAAAATGTACTGCCTTGGTGGTTTTATTGAGAAATAACTGTCGAAGTCTGCTCTCTCGCTACGATGTAGAAACTTGGTCTGCTGTTTGTGTGAGCTTGATTACTCGTGTAAATTGATTAGACCCATTGAGACGTGGAGGTAATTATATTTTCAAGGCTGATTAACCTTTTGTAGCGTGATTTTTTATGTATTTCTGTTTTGTACTTCTTAAAAGAAAATTTGTAGAGGTCTGTTAGAGACTCTTGGTCGCACCAGATGCGTTTTGGTCCGGGGTGGCTCGCGCTTAGAGTAATTTCGAATAAGATACACCGTCTGTTCGTCAAACGCTGAGAGTTTAGAAGAATGTGTAAGTAGTTCAACCCATTGTTTGAGAATTGCAATTGGTAGCAGTTTCAAAGAGCTGAATAAAAACTCGATGTAAAATTTTATGCGTGAAGACCTGACTCTGCTCTGATCAGTGACACCTTTGTGCATTGTTAAGCCACCAAATTGAGCGGAACAGAGGAATTTGAGATTTAGCTTACAAAATTTTTCATGAATGGTTTCGCTAGTTGTTTCATTAGCAAAATATTGAAGAAAATTCATTTTCGCTACAGTTTGAAACCACTTTTCAGCTACTCTTATACGATTGTTATTATCAAATATCAGAACAACGTATCATATCGAAAGCATAAATTATGATTGAAATGCTCATTTTATTTCAAAATGAGTGTAAACTTATTGTTCGCCAAGCGCAAGCTCATCAATTAAACAAGACTTTTTAATTGATCTATGGAACATCAATGAATCATTCCTTTCGAAGATGTTTTTCCCAATTTGGTTTCTGTTAAAATATGGCTTGCATACCCAAAACATTTTTCATAAAAGTAAGTTTCCAAATTTTCGCAGCAGTCATAATCCTGTGAAATAACCGAGTCAGATCTAGTTAGAATTTGTCTGATTTAGATGCTGGTTGTAAAAAATTGTGAAAATGGGAAATTAACTTGAAAGTTTATAGGATTTTTTTGTTGAAACAAAAAGTGAAATAGATAACTTTAATGGGAGCTGTAGCAATCGATGTTAAAAACAATCCTGATGTTTTTTATCATAAGGTATTGATAGCATTGATGAGTTAGTTGAAGCCCTCTTTCGAGTTGCTCTAAGAAATTTGTTTGACGCATAAATTTTGTAAGGGTGAGGCTTGTAAGGGTGAGCCTAGGCATTTCACAGAAAGAAAACGCTGGCCAAGCCATGCTATTTTGAGCCATGCTGTTTTGTTCCAAATTTGGTTCGCAAGTTTTATTTCAAGCTTTTAATTTTAATCCAGACTATCAGCAAAAAATGCTTATCACAAAAATGCTTATGAAATGAACAAAAATACTTATTCCAAAAACGGCTTATTATCAAAGTGAAGAAAAAACGCTTGTCATGAGTTTTGTTTTGCTATATTTGTAGCCTATGAAATGGTACGAAACAGTATGATGTCATTTTTTCTTAATATCTGAAAAAATGATGACTTAAATTGCAAAATGATGAGGAATTACATGATGCAAATATAGGTCATGCAATTTTTGTTTAGTATAAAAAATACTTACAAAATAATATTGTAACAAAAATAATTGTGTCTTCAAGTAAAATTAAACTGTTTCCACCATGTTTTTCATAGGTTGCCATAGAAAATAGATAAAAATTAATTCTTTAATTTAAATTTCATATTCTTATATGTTAAGGGGCTGTTGGTAAGGTTTGCATTTGTGCTTTCAACTTGGTTCCGTACTAAAACAGATTTTCTGAAGAGATATACTGGTATTAGATTATGTTTGACTTTCCAAAAGTGACAGACTAATTTCCAATTAAGAAACATTGAAACTGGTAGTATTTTGTATTTTAGTTTAAGATCAGACGATGAATCAAATTTTCTTCTGTCACACCAGGTCTTAATTTCCAGCTTGAAATTGTATGACAAAATTTTTCGCCAACCCGGGGAGTTAAAGAACTTACCCTTTAAAGAGCTGTCAGTTTTAGCTGTCAATTCTGAGCGCCAGCTTGCCCTTTACGGGCTTTTCCTACAAGATTTTACAGATCATTATAATAAAGTTTCTTCTGAATGCACATAACATTACTACAAACTTTCAGAATAGTAAGAGTAGTAAAAAAAAATAATAGTAACTGGTAGTATATTGTATTTTAGTTTAAGATCAGACGATGAATCAAATTTTCTTCTGTCACACCAGGTCTTAATTTCCAGCTTGAAACTTATTACTGATACAATATATTGTATTACATATTATTACCTAAAATTTACAATTGCATTAACACAGAAAAAAGTACAATTAGACTACATTTTTACGGACCTGAACAGAACTTGTGTTTCGTACGATGCTCTAGATGGTTCGGTAGCAGCCCAAACTGCAGCACAGCCTGTTTGCAGAAACTGTTCACCTGTTTCATCCCGATACTCATCTGATCGTCCAACGCGTTGAAAACCAGTCCAAACAAACAATCCGTCGAACTCCGCTCCAAAACGACCCTCGTAGAACCAGTGAACACCTGAGCAAAGCTGGGTCAAAAAAATCTGCCAAAAATAATTTCGTAGTTAGGTCGTTTTACAATGTTGGGACACCCAAAAAAAAATTTGAAAAAATCTCTATGAAAAAATCTTCCTGATTAAGAGAAAGAAATTCTTTAACCACAAGTTAGGCACGAATTTTAAGGTGTTATTGAAATTTAGTAGTAGAAACCTGTGAATAGAGATTCGCCTAGATCATCACAAATTGCTCTAGCTGTTTCGAAGCTCCGAGTGGAGTCGGATAGCAGTTGTGGCGTCGGATAGCAGTTGTGGCGTTTTTTCCCATTTCTCGTGGCACGTTCCTTTTTGCCCGCTAAATAAAGGCCTTGTGCAGTTTCTCGCGTGGGTTTTAAACCGTAGAACTTTTGCCTTGTCGCTACACGGCCATTCAAAAGTCGAGTTCCAGTTTGACCAATCGGTGCAGTTTGAATCAATCACTTTCTCATCGAACCCACATTTTTCCAAGTCGGAGTTGGTATACGCGGCTATGTTGCCATCATAACAGGGTACTTCAAAGTCGGTCGATATTGCATACATAATCAGAGGCGAATCATTCGTTATTCTTATCAGTGAGCTATCGTCTAATTGAGCTCTCGGGTCGGTCGCGTACAAAACGCATAAAAGGTTCCCATAGGCAATACTTACGCATTTTTTAGTGAAATAACAGCTTTTGACGCATTTTGTTAGATCAGCTCCTGAAGTAGTTGTAAGTATGAACTTCGTTGACAATTGAATTCCCGGAAGCTTTTGAAACAGCCCAAACCTATTAACTACTAGCTGTTTAGCCCGAACTACAAACGATAGAATTAAGAAAAAGGGTTTCAGACCAGCGAAATTGGACATTACTATATTCGACAATAATATTTGTTTTTTTTTCGATATCGTTTGCTGTACATTCAATTGTGTTTGGAATCAAGTTTAATGGATTTCATTACGAATTTTTTTTATTGGGAGCTCGTTTATCTAGAGCAGAAGCGCTTTTTTGTTCCTCTAAATAATCATAAATGAATTCAATAAGACGAAAGAGGAATTATATGCATGAATATTCAAAATATTTCCTGTTGAATAATTCACTGAGATCGTATGGCAGTGAAGTTTAATGGTACGATGAATATCTTCTCCCACCAATAAATTAAAAGTTCTAATTGAACCTGCTCAAGAAATCGGAATCGTATTAGAATTTCCTATTCTCGTAAATTTCTTGTTTCTGGCGCCATGCGCAGACTTGCTAGGTAAAGACAAATTTGCTTGCATCAAGATTTATTGATATCGTTCCAATTTCTACAACGTGATAACATTGATTAGAAATTATAACAGAACGAAACCATAACAGTCCCAGAAATCGTCCCATTATAAAATCAAGCTCCTGTTCTTGGAACGGTCATCTCACGTTGATGTCCATACAAGAAAAATGCCAATCATACAATTTCAAATTTGAATTCTATGAAAAGGAAATGACTTTTTTCAATAATTTATCTTAAATTGATTCAAATTAAAAAAAAAATTTCTTTTCGGATCAATTGAGCAATCTCAACCCCGTAATGACCAATTGAGCTATCTCCCCCCAAGCAAAAACGGTAAGCCGCTACAAAAAGATATCGGAAAAAGCAAGTAGATAGTTGGTGTGTTCTTTGCATGCAATCAACTGACCGTCTGAAGTTTATTTTATATGAATATCGAGAAAAACTTTGAAAAAAAAAATCGAATTAGAAAAAAAAATTTTTGCAATTTTTTGCTTGGGCGACCAGTGCCTCATCGAGGTATGCGACTTACGAGGGTTGATGCTCTAGCCTTCTGAATATCATACACTGTTCTCCGCAGCGCCTTATTATTGTAAGCAATACATTTTTCATTCTTTGAGGACAGAAAAATGTCGCTTTATATGCCTCAGTTTATTGATTCTGATTGTTTTTTTTTCAGACCTGTGATATTGGAAATTTGGCGTTCCACATTCGTTGGGGAATCTTTTTCTTGACTTCATATCGTCCAAACTATTTTTAAGTGGTTATAAGCATGTCTCAGGTACCCATTGAGGATTATTATTATCCCCCCAAGCGAGAATGGGGGAAGAGATTGCTCAATTGATCCTTTAACATACCTTTTTCAAACATGGAACTTGAAAGATATCCATTTTTTCCAGTGAAAAAAAGCAAGTAATATTTTTTTCGTTCTTTTTGAATACAAACTTGCTTCTTCAAAACAAACTTTCACACAAAATTTAATGTACTTTTTTTCTATAACGTAGTTCAGATTGAATGTCTCATTCAACAAATCCAAAAATATTAATTAAGTTTTTTGCAAAAAGACAAATGATTTTCAATGTTTTAATATGCTTATCATACAACTTCACTGTATAAAGAGTTTGAGCATGCTACTTTCATAAATTTCCGTTATATTAAGTATGACAAAAGCGGCTCTTTTCCAGTCCCCCTTTTGATTTTTTTGGGATATCGATAAACTAAAGTCTGCTTAAAATTAATTTTCATATTGTAAACTGCAGCAAAACGAGTCAGCGTGAACAAGTGAACAAACTCTTACAACATTATTTACATGCAAAATGTTGTTTGAACAGTTTTTGAAGATCTTTATTTTGAAATTTTAGAAAAGGGGAATAGACAAGAGCCCAAAAAGCGTGTTATTTACCTCCAGATTGAAGAAAAAAGCTTTTTATAAAGTGACATTGTAATTAAAAAAAAAGATTATTTTGTTATTTTAATTCAATTTTTTTCTTCTATGAAATAGTATGAAATTGTAGGGTGAACTTTGTTTTTCATAGTATGAAATTGTATGAAAAGCGTTCTTGTCAACTCGAGCTGTTTTTGTTGATGTAAGCAGACTAGCCGGGTAACACTCACGATGCTCGCTCCAAATCAAATTTTAAAGATGAGAATGCTGGTATATTGAGGTACAACCTTAATTTTCCGACTGCTCTAAAAATGGGATTCAATGGTCTCGAAAAGTAAGGATTTATTGCAAATTTCGGACAGTCGATATCAAAAATTATGTTTTAAAATTGTGAGACGTATAAAAACTTAAAATGACTAATTTGCTTACCTGATATAACCGAGTTGATTATATCTCTAAAAGGGTTTACGTACATATCGACATAGTTTCCAAAAATCAGCAAAAACTAACTCTAATAGGTTTGTGGATTTTTCGGTAAACTCATGAGACTTTTTGCTGAAAAAATTCCGTTACTGGGCTCTGTGACAGCGGAGAACTTCAAAGTTGTTTTATAAAAAGTATTTTAAATCTAAAAGAAAAAAAACTCTGAAATGTTTGTAGGAAAAGCTCAAATCTTTTAAATTACAATTTTCTTACAAGCAGAAAAAATCCCTATCTTGTAAATATCTTAGGCCTTAGTAGTTGTAAGGGCCTTTCAAAAAAATTCTATGATAGCGACTTTTGGTCAACCCGAGTCTTTTCATTTTGTGTGCGTGATGGTAAATCTTTGTATGCTGTCATCAACATGCAAACAATTTTTTGAATTTAAACAAGCAACTTAGTAAGAAGTGCCCTTAAGTGCATCTATGATATATGAAAGTGCGTAGTACGATCTCGCACTAGAGTTTATGGAAAAATTGTCGTTAGTTTTAGTTTTTCACGGTCAATCTCCACAAGTCAAAAGTAAACGGTTTTATTCGACTTAAAATAGATTATTCCCTTGTGTTTTTGTCAAATCAATAAATTCCGTCTTAATCGATTATAATCAATTGAAAAGGGGTAATAAATTTTTCATTATTGTCTAAAATTTAATTGTACTGTTTCGACAAACTGAGAATTGCTTTCGACTTGAAACAAATTTTTTTTCAGACATTTTCACTTTTTCGCTTCACAATTTTTCCAAATAACTTTCTAGTTCCTCAAGTTTTGTTGACGTTTTGTTACACTACTATATCATTTTTCCTTCCCTCATTGTCTTTCATCTTATGCTAGGCTTCCTTTTAGACCATGGGGCTGCCTACTGAATGTAACTTCTAAAAATTTGGATTCCCCAAGTTTAAATCCCACCCACCCCCAGGGGGGGAATTAAAATCTTGGGATTGGTAAATTGGGAGAGGTTATAAAAGCGAAGGGTGAGGATGGGGTTGGGGTTGTGATGGAAGGGAGTATGGGGCTCGCGGAACTGAAGAGAAAAAAGTTAAAGATTTTTATGGAATACGAGCATTGGCAAAATCACAGTTTGATAATGGTTTGGCAATCGAAGAGCTAACAAACTTTTAATTAATAATTTTTTTCGTTCTTTTTGAGTACAAACTTGCTTCTTCAATACAACTTCACTGTATAAAGAGTTTGTGGATGCTACTTTCATAAAGGTCCGTTATATTAGTTATGGCAAAAAGCGGCTCTTTTCCAGTCTCCCCCTTGATTTTTTTTGGAATATCGTTAAATTAAAGTTTGTTTAAAAAGAAATGATGTAAGCTGCAGTGAAACGTGTCAGCGTGAACAAGTGAACAATCTCTTAAAACATTTTTCCATGCAGAATGTTGTTTGAACAGTTTTTGAAGATCTTTATATTGAAATATTATAAAAGGGGAATGAACAAGAGCCCAAAAAGCGTGTTATTTACCTCCAGATTGAGGAAAAAGCTTTTTATAAAGTGTCAATGTAAAAAAAGCTTATTATAATATTTTGATTCAATTTTTTTCTGCTATGAAATAGTATGAAATTGTAGGATGAACTTTGTTTTTCATAGTATGAAAGTGTATGAAAAACGTTTTTGTCAACTCGTGCTGTTTTTGCTGTTGTAAGCAGACTAGCCGGGAAACACTCACGTTGCTCGCTGCAAATCAAATTATAAAGTTCTCATAAAATTTATTGATTGAAGCCAGAAACATTACTACAAATTATTTATCCTAAATAAATTAACTCTGTAATATACTAGAAAATCAGTTTATAAATTTGACAAGACTGCTGTTATTTTGAGGTATAACCTTAATGTTCCGAGTGCACTAAAAATTGAGATTCAATGGTCTCGATATGAAAGGATTTAATGCAAATTTCGGACCGTCAATATCAAAAATTATCTTTTAAAATGTGAGACGTATAAAATCTTAAAACATCTTTTATGCTTACCTGATATAACCGAGTTGATTATATTTCTAAAAGGGTTTACGTATATATCGACAAAAATTCCAAAAATCAGCAAAAACTAACTCTAACAGGTTTGTGGATTTTTCGGTAAACTCATGAAACTTTTGGCCTAAAACTTAAAAAAATAAAACAACTTTTATGCTTACCTGATATAACCGAGTTG